AACATCAGAGAGTGCACTACTCCTAGCTGCACTGCAGCGCTAGGTCGATGCGTGGGGTGAAGAGAGCAAGATCCTCTTTCAACTCCTTAATACAAAAAATCTGTTTACTCTATCGTCCTCATATAGAGGACATATCAGATATTACACTTGATCTTAGCCAAAAGGCCGAGAAGCGATAACAGTGACTCCTAGCTGGATCGTGGGCCTCGCTGACCACAGATCACAGTGTAGTGGTGACTTGGAGCAGACATCGGCCACTTTGCACCTCCACCCACGCAAAGGTTAGGGTAAGCAGCCCTAAATAGTTTACTGCTGTCTAAATAGTGATGCAGCCAGAAGCAGATATGAGAGGGATTCAAAGAACAATTTCGACCCATCCACTTGCAATTTGAAAGGCCACACAACAGCTTTTATTACATTGCACAACCAAACAGAGGCAGAGCCTGGCAAAAATTGCTTATGCTCATTAATGTCACTCTCCACGGAAGTCTTTAGTAAAAGGCGAAAGACTTATGCGGACTGAAGAGAAACCAGAGTACATGTTGCTTATTGTCCTCATAATCCAGACAGCAAGCGGGCCTAGCTGTTTTTGTTACGGTGAACCTTCCTGGAACAAAATCAGGAGCCCGGCCCAGTCTAATTTATTTCCATGCCTTATCTAGTTTCGGTTTTAAAGAAAGTTCTTAGCCATACTTATCCCTTGTTTTTCCACGAGGACAAGAAGTGTGAGGCCTGACCCGTTGTCTACTTGGATGACCGGTTTATGCATTGTTCGGACTTTGGCAAGTAAAGGCCGATTTGTTGTAAAACTTTCAAAGAAATATTTCCCACACAACTGTGCCCAGTGCTCATTGCAGACATGTTTAATTGTGCCAGAATGCTCTTTTTCACCTCCGTGGCTGGGCATTGAAATTTTATACAGGCTCTTAGAAACCTTGTGCCTTGTATAATTTGTGGGATTACTTTTCCACAACATCAGAGAGTGCTCCACTCCCAGCTGCACTGCAGCGCTAGGTCGATGCTTGGGGTGAAGAGAGCAAGCTCCTCTTTCAACCCCTTAATACAAAAAATCTGTTTAATATGTCATCCTCATATAGAGGACATATCAGATATTAAACTGATAAGAACAGATACTACACTTGATCTTAGCCAAAAGGCCGAGAAGCGATAACAGTGACTCCTAGCTGGATCGTGGGCCTCGCTGACCACAGATCACAGTGTAGTGGTGACTTGGAGCAGACATCGGCCCCTTTGCACCTCCGCCCACGCAAAGGTTAGGGTAAGCAGCCCTAAATATTTTACTGCTTTCTAGATAGTCATGGAGTCAGAAGCGGTTATGAGAGGGATTCAAAGATCAATTTTGACCCATCCACTTGCAATTTGAAAGGCCACACAAGAGCTTTTAATACATTGCACAACCAAACAGAGGCATAGCCAAGAGGCAGAGCCTGGCAAAAACTGCTTATGCTCATTAATGTCACTCTCCACGGAAATCTTTAGTAAAAGGCGAAAGACTTAGGCGGGCTGAAGAGAAACCAGAGTACATGTTGCTTTATTGTCCTCATAATCCAGACAGCAAGCGGGCCTAGCTGTTTTTGTTACGGTGAACCTTCCTGGAACAAAATCAGGAGCCCGGCCCAGTCTAATTTATTTCCATGCCTTATCTAGTTTCGGTTTTAAAGAAAGTTCTTAGCCATACTTATCCCTTGTTTTTCCACGAGGACAAGAAGTGTGAGCCCTGACCCGTTGTCTACTTGGATGACCGGTTTATGCATTGTTCGGACTTTGGCAAGTAAAGGCCGATTTGTTATAAACCTTCAAAGAAATACTTCCCACACAACTGTGCCCAGTGCTCGTTGCAGAAATGTTTAATTGTGCCTGAATGCTCTTATTCACCTCCGTGGCTGGGCAATGAAATTTTATACAGACTCTTAGAAACCTTGTGCCTTGTATAATTTGTGGGATTGATTTTCCACAACATCAGAGAGTGCACCACTCCCAGCTGCACTGCAGCGCTAGGTCGATGCGTGGGGTGAAGAGAGCAAGCTCCTCTTTCAACCACTTAATACAAAAAATCTGTTTAATATGTTGTTCTCATATAGAGGACATATCAGATATTAAACTGATAAGAACAGATACTACACTTGATCTTAACCAAAAGGCCGAGAAGCGTTAACAGTGACTCCTAGCTGGATCGTGGGCCTCGCTGACCACAGATCACAGTGTAGTGGTGACTTGGAGCAGACATCGGCCACTTTGCACCTCCGCCCGCGCAAATGTTAGGGTAAGCAGCCCTAAATATTTTACTGCTTTCTAGATAGTCATGGAGTCAGAAGCGGTTATGAGAGGGATTCAAAGAACAATCTTGACCCATCCACTTGCAATTTGAAAGGCCATACAAGAGCTTTTATTACATTGCACAACCAAACAGAGGCATAGCCAAGAGGCAGAGCCTGGCAAAAATTGCATATGCTCATTAATGTCACTCTCCACGGAAGTCTTTAGTAAAAGGCGAAAGACTTAGGCGGGCTGAAGAGAAACCAGAGTACATGTTGCTTTATTGTCCTCATAATCCAGACAGCAAGCGGGCCTAGCTGTTTTTGTTACGGTGAACATTCCTGGAACAAAATCAGGAGCCCGGCCCAGTCTAATTTATTTCCATGCCTTATCTAGTTTCGGTTTTAAAGAAAGTTCTTAGCCATACTTATCCCTTGTTTTTCCACGAGGACAAGAAATGTGAGGCCTGACCCGTTGTCTACTTGGATGACAGGTTTATGCATTGTTCGGACTTTGGCAAGTAACGGCCGATTTGTTGTAAAACTTTCAAAGAAATACTTCCCACACAACTGTGTCCAGTGCTCATTGCAGACATGTTTAATTGTGCCAGAATGCTCTTTTTCACCTCCGTGGCTGGGCATTGAAATTTTATACAGGCTCTTGGAAACCTTGTGCCTTGTATAATTTGTGGGATTGCTTTACCATAACATCAGAGAGTGCACCACTCCCAGCTGCACTGCAGCGCTAGGTCGATGCTTGGGGTGAAGAGAGCAAGCTCCTCTTTCAACCCCTTAATACAAAAATTCTGTTTAATATGTCGTCCTCATATAGAGGACATATCAGATATTAAACTGATAAGAACAGATACTACACTTGATCTTAGCCAAAAGGCCGAGAAGCGATAACAGTGACTCCTAGCTGGATCGTGGGCCTCGCTGACCACAGATCACAGTGTAGTGGTGACTTGGAGCAGACATCGGCCACTTTGCACCTCCGCCCACGCAAAGGTTAGGGTAAGCAGCCCTAAATAGTTTACTGCTGTCTAAATAGTGATGCAGTCAGAAGCAGATATGAGAGGGATTCAAGGAACAATTTCGACCCATCCACTTGCAATTTGAAAGGCCACACACCAGCTTTTATTACATTGCACAACCAAACAAAGGCATAGCCAAGAGGCAGAGCCTGGCAAAAATTGCTTCTGCTCATTAATGTTACTCTCCACGGAAGTCTTTAGTAAAAGGCGAAAGATTTATGCGGACTGAAGAGAAACCAGAGTACATGTTGCTTTATTGACCTCATAATCCAGACAGCAAGCGGGCCTAGCTGTTTTTTTTACGGTGAATCTTCCTGGAACAAAATCAGGAGCCCGGCCCAGTCTAATTTATTTCCATGCCTTATCTAGTTTCGGTTTTAAAGAAAGTTCTTAGCCATACTTATCCCTTGTTTTTCCACGAGGACAAGAAGTGTGAGGCCTGACCCGTTGTCTACTTGGATGACCGGTTTATGCATTGTTCGGACTTTGGCAAGTAACGGCCGATTTGTTGTAAAACTTTCAAAGAAATACTTCCCACACAACTGTGTCCAGTGCTCATTGCAGACATGTTTAATTGTGCCAGAATGCTCTTTTTCACCTCCGTGGCAGGGCATTGAAATTTTATACAGGCTCTTAGAAACCTTGTGCCTTGTATAATTTGTGGGATTGCTTTACCACAACATCAGAGAGTGCACCACTCCCAGCTGCACTGCAGCGCTAGGTCGATGCGTGTGGTGAAGAGAGCAAGCTCCTCTTTCAACCCCTTAATACAAAAATTCTGTTTAATATGTCATCCTCATATAGAGGACATATCAGATATTAAACTGATAAGAACAGATACTACACTTGATCTTAGCCAAAAGGCCGAGAAGCGATAACAGTGACTCCTAGCTGGATCGTGGGCCTCGCTGACCACAGATCACAGTGTAGTGGTGACTTGGAGCAGACATCGGCCACTTTGCACCTCCGCCCACGCAAAGGTTAGGGTAAGCAGCCCTAAATAGTTTACTGCTGTCTAAATAGTGATGCAGTCAGAAGCAGATATGAGAGGGATTCAAGGAACAATTTCGACCCATCCACTTGCAATTTGAAAGGCCACACAAGAGCTTTTATTACATTGCACAACCAAACAGAGGCATAGCCAAGAGGCAGAGCCTAGCAAAAATTGCTTATGCTCAATAATGTCACTCTCCACGGAAGGCTTCAGTAAAAGGCGAAAGGCTTATGCGGACTGAAGAGAAACCAGAGTACATGTTGCTTTATTGTCCTCATAATCCAGACAGCAAGCGGGCCTAGCTGTTTTTTTTACGGTGAACCTTCCTGGAACAAAATCAGGAGCCCGGCCCAGTCTAATTTATTTCCATGCCTTATCTAGTTTCGGTTTTAAAGAAAGTTATTAGCCATACTTATCCCTTGTTTTTCCACGAGGACAAGAAGTGTGAGCCCTGACCCGTTGTCTACTTGGATGACCGGTTTATGCATTGTTCGGACTTTGGCAAGTAAAGGCCGATTTGTTGTAAAACTTTCAAAGAAATACTTCCCACACAACTGTGCCCAGTGTTCATTGCAGACATGTTTAATAGTGCTAGAATGCTCTTTTTCACCTCCGTGGCTGGGCATTGAAATTTTATACAAGCTCTTAGAAACCTTGTGCCTTGTATAATTTGTGGGATTGATTTTCCACAACATCAGAGAGTGCACCACTCCCAGCTGCACTGCAGTGCTAGGTCGATGCTTGGGGTGAAGAGAGCATGCTCCTCATTCAACCCCTTAATACAAAAAATCTGTTTAATATGTTGTCCTCATATAGAGGACATATCAGATATTAAACTGAGAAGCGATAACAGTGACTCCTAGCTGGATCGTGGGCCTCGCTGACCACAGATCACAGTGTAGTGGTGACTTGGAGCAGACATCGGCCACTTTGCACCTCCGCCCACGCAAAGGTTAGGGTAAGCAGCCCTAAATAGTTTACTGCTGTCTAAATAGTGATGCAGTCAGAAGCAGATATGAGAGGCATTCAAAGAACAATTTCGACCCATCCACTTGCAATTTGAAAGGCCACACAAGAGCTTTTAATACATTGCACAACCAAACAGAGGCATAGCCAAGAGGCAGAGCCTGGCAATAATTGCTTATGCTCATTAATAACACTCTCCACGGAAGTCTTTAGTAAAAGGCGAAAGACTTAAACGGACTGAAGAGAAACCACAGTACAAGTTGATTTATTGTCCTCATAATCCAGACAGTAAGCGGGCCTAGCTGTTTTTGTTACGGTGAACATTCCTGGAACAAAATCAGGAGCCCGGCCCAGTCTAATTTATTTCCATGCCTTATCTAGTTTCGGTTTTAAAGAAAGTTCTTAGCCATACTTATCCCTTGTTTTTCCACAAGGACAAGAAGTGTGAGCCCTGACCCGTTGTCTACTTGGATGACCGGTTTATGCATTGTTCGGACTTTGGCAAGTAACGGCCGATTTGTTGTAAAACTTTCAAAGAAATACTTCCCACACAACTGTGTCCAGTGCTCATTGCAGACATGTTTAATTGTGCCAGAATGCTCTTTTTCACCTCCGTGGCAGGGCATTGAAATTTTATACAGGCTCTTAGAAACCTTGTGCCTTGTATAATTTGTGGGATTGCTTTACCACAACATCAGAGAGTGCACCACTCCCAGCTGCACTGCAGCGCTAGGTCGATGCGTGGGGTGAAGAGAGCAAGCTCCTCTTTCAACCCCTTAATACAAAAATTCTGTTTAATATGTCGTCCTCATATAGAGGACATATCAGATATTAAACTGATAAGAACAGATACTACACTTGATCTTAGCCAAAGGGCCGAGAAGCGATAACAGTGACTCCTAGCTGGATCGTGGGCCTCGCTGACCACAGATCACAGTGTAGTGGTGACTTGGAGCAGACATCGGCCACTTTGCACCTCCGCCCACGCAAAGGTTAGGGTAAGCAGCCCTAAATAGTTTACTGCTGTCTAAATAGTGATGCAGTCAGAAGCAGATATGAGAGGGATTCAAAGAACAATTTTGACCCATCCACTTGCAATTTGAAAGGCCACACAAGAGCTTTTATTACATTGCACAACCAAACAGAGGCATAGCCAAGAGGCAGAGCCTAGCAAAAATTGCTTATGCTCATTAATGTCACTCTCCAGGAAAGGCTTCAGTAAAAGGCGAAAGGCTTATGCGGACTGAAGAGAAACCAGAGTACATGTTGCTTTATTGTCCTCATAATCCAGACAGCAAGCGGGCCTAGCTGTTTTTTTTACGGTGAATCTTCCTGGAACAAAATCAGGAGCCCGGCCCAGTCTAATTTATTTCCATGCCTTACCTAGTTTCGGTTTTAAAGAAAGTTCTTAGCCATATTTATCCCTTGTTTTTCCACGAGGACAAGAAGTGTGAGGCCTGACCCGTTGTCTACTTGGATGACCGGTTTATGCATTGTTCGGACTTTGGCAAGTAACGGCCGATTTGTTGTAAAACTTTCAAAGAAATACTTCCCACACAACTGTGTCCAGTGCTCATTGCAGACATGTTTAATTGTGCCAGAATGCTCTTTTTCACCTCCGTGGCAGGGCATTGAAATTTTATACAGGCTCTTAGAAACCTTGTGCCTTGTATAATTTGTGGGATTGCTTTACCACAACATCAGAGAGTGCACCACTCCCAGCTGCACTGCAGCGCTAGGTCGATGCGTGGGGTGAAGAGAGCAAGCTCCTCTTTTAACCCCTTTATACAAAAATTCTGTTTAATATGTCATCCTCATATAGAGGACATATCAGATATTAAACTGATAAGAACAGATACTACACTTGATCTTAGCCAAAAGGCCGAGAAGCGATAACAGTGACTCCTAGCTGGATCGTGGGCCTCGCTGACCACAGATCACAGTGTAGTGGTGACTTGGAGCAGACATCGGCCACTTTGCACCTCCGCCCACGCAAAGGTTAGGGTAAGCAGCCCTAAATAGTTTACTGCTGTCTAAATAGTGATGCAGTCAGAAGCAGATATGAGAGGGATTCAAAGAACAATTTCGACCCATCCACTTGCAATTTGAAAGGCCACACAAGAGCTTTTAATACATTGCACAACCAAACAGAGGCATAGCCAAGAGGCAGAGCCTGGCAATAATTGCTTATGCTCATTAATGTCACTCTCCACGGAAGTCTTTAGTAAAAGGCGAAAGACTTATGCGGACTGAAGAGAAACCAGAGTACATGTTGCTTTATTGTCCTCATAATCCAGACAGCAAGCGGGCCTAGCTGTTTTTTTTACGGTGAACCTTCCTGGAACAAAATCAGGAGCCCGGCCCAGTCTAATTTATTTCCATGCCTTATCTAGTTTCGGTTTTAAAGAAAGTTATTAGCCATACTTATCCCTTGTTTTTCCACGAGGACAAGAAGTGTGAGCCCTGACCCGTTGTCTACTTGGATGACCGGTTTATGCATTGTTCGGACTTTGGCAAGTAAAGGCCGATTTGTTGTAAAACTTTCAAAGAAATACTTCCCACACAACTGTGCCCAGTGTTCATTGCAGACATGTTTAATAGTGCTAGAATGCTCTTTTTCACCTCCGTGGCTGGGCATTGAAATTTTATACAAGCTCTTAGAAACCTTGTGCCTTGTATAATTTGTGGGATTGCTTTTCCACAACATCAGAGAGTGCACCACTCCCAGCTGCACTGCAGTGCTAGGTCGATGCTTGGGGTGAAGAGAGCAAGCTCCTCGTTCAACCCCTTAATACAAAAAATCTGTTTAATATGTCGTCCTCATATAGAGGACATATCAGATATTAAACTGATAAGAACAGATACTACACTTGATCTTAGCCAAAAGGCCGAGAAGCGATAACAGTGACTCCTAGCTGGATCGTGGGCCTCGCTGACCACAGATCACAGTGTAGTGGTGACTTGGAGCAGACATCGGCCACTTTGCACCTCCGCCCACGCAAAGGTTAGGGTAAGCAGCCCTAAATAGTTTACTGCTGTCTAAATAGTGATGCAGTCAGAAGCAGATATGAGAGGGATTCAAAGAACAATTTCGACCCATCCACTTGCAATTTGAAAGGCCACACAAGAGCTTTTAATACATTGCACAACCAAACAGAGGCATAGCCAAGAGGCAGAGCCTGGCAATAATTGCTTATGCTCATTAATGTCACTCTCCACGGAAGTCTTTAGTAAAAGGCGAAAGACTTATGCGGACTGAAGAGAAACCAGAGTACATGTTGCTTTATTGTCCTCATAATCCAGACAGCAAGCGGGCCTAGCTGTTTTTTTTACGGTGAACCTTCCTGGAACAAAATCAGGAGCCCGGCCCAGTCTAATTTATTTCCATGCCTTATCTAGTTTCGGTTTTAAAGAAAGTTATTAGCCATACTTACAGGTGCTGGTCAGTAAATTAGAATATCATCAAAAGGTTGAAAATATTTCAGTAATTCCATTCAAAACGTGAAACTTGTACATTATATTCATGCAATGCACACAGACCAATGTATTTCCAATGTTCATTACATTTAAATTTGATATTCATAAGTGACAACTAATGAAAACTCCAAATTTGGTATCTCAAAAAATTAGAATATTCTGAAAAGGCTGAATATAGAAGACACCTGCTGCCACTCAAATCAGCTGATTTACTCAAAACACCTGCAAAGGCCTTTAAAAGGTCCCTCAGTCTTGTTTTGAAGGCACCACAATCATGGGGAAGACTTCTGACTTAACAGCTGTCCAAAAGACAATCATTGACACCTTGCACAAGGAGGGCAAGACACAAAAGGTGATTGCTAAAGAAGCTGGCTGTTCGCAGAGCTCTGTGTCCAAGCACATTAACAGACAGGCGAAGGGACGGAAAAAATGTGGTAGAAAAAAGTGTACAAGCTCTAGGGATAACCGCACCCTGCAGAGAATTGTGACGACAAACCCATTCAAAAATGTGGGGGAGATCCACAAAGAGTGGACTGCAGCTGGAGTCAGCGCTTCAAGAACCACCACGAGGAGACTCATGAAAGACATGGGATTCAGGTGTCGCATTCCGTGTGTCAAGCCACTCTTGAACAAGAAACAGCGCAAGAAGCGTCTCGCCTGGGCCAAGGACTAAAAGGACTGGACTGATGCTGAGTGGTCCAAAGTTATGTTTTCTGATGAAAGCAAGTTCTGCATTTCCTTTGGCAATCAAGGACCCAGAGTCTGGAGGAAGAGCGGAGAAGCACAGAATCCACGTTGCATGAGGTCTAGTGTAAAGTTTCCACCGTCAGTGATGGTGTGGGGTGCCATGTCATCTGCCGGTGTTGGCCCACTCTGTTTCCTGAGGTCCAGGGTCAATGCAGCCGTCTACCAGGAAGTTTTAGAGCACTTCATGCTTCCTGCTGCTGACCAACTTTATGGGGATGCAGACTTCACCTTTCAACAGGACTTGGCACCTGCACACAGTGCCAAAACCACCAGCACCTGGTTCAAGGACCATGGTATCCCTGTCCTTGATTGGCCAGCAAACTCGCCTGACCTTAACCCCATAGAAAATCTATGGGGTATTGTGAAGCGGAGGATGCAATACGCTAGACCCAACAATGCAGAGGAGCTGAAGACGACTATCAGAGCAACCTGGGCTCTCATAACACCTGAGCAGTGCCACAGACTGATCGAGTCCATGCCACGCCGCATTACTGCAGTTATTGAGGCAAAAGGAGCCCCGACTAAGTATTGAGTGCTATACATGCACATTCTTTTCATGTTCATTCTTTTCAGTTGGCCAACATTAGAGAAACAAACATTTTTTCATTGGCCTTTAGAATATTCTAATTTTCTGAGATACAAGATTTGATGTTTTCATTGGTTGTCACCTATAAATATCAAAATTAAACGTAATAAACATCG